AAAAAAAAAAAGAATCTAGGAGTCTGGCAGATAAAGAAGGCTTCCCAGATTTAAGGCTCAACATGAAACTGCCATGCCCAATCATCACACTTGCCTTGAAGACTACTTTTGACTTCTCTGTGCAACTATCTCATAATTCACAGGTTTAAGTTTCTTTCCTCCTAACTATAACAAATTCCAAAAATTTAGTTTCTATTACTGCTATTAAAAAAAAATTGTTCATTTTTTACTTACTGGCACCTGTGGCTCAGTAAGTAGGGTGCCGGCCCCATGTACCAAGGGTGGCCAGTTTGAACGCGGCCACAAAACTGCAACAAAAAAATTGCTGGGCATTGTGACAGGCACCTGTAGTCCCAGCTATGCAGGAGGCGGAGGCAAGAGAATTGTCTAAGCCCAGGAGTTGGAGGTTGCTGTGAGCTGTGATGCTATGGCACTCTACCAAGGGTGATAAAGTGAGACTCTATCTCTAAAAAAAAATCATTCAGGAAAAAAAGCATAATCTAGGTTCTTATGGGAAATTCATTTTTACTCAAAAATTCTCAGCAACCTGTACATTGGTTTCTTTACTACCTTCAAAGAGACTGACCTAACCAAACAGATGAAGTAAACTAGGTTTGGTAGAACTTCAGAAACCTCAGGTGTTTTATTTCTGTAGAATCTTTCTTCAATGTTCAAGTTCTCTTAATGAAGGAATGGCAGTGTCCCTTATCAAAACAATCAAAATTCACTCATATGCCAAAAATTCAATCAGCTTACTTAGCATTTATGAAGGAATAAAAGATAGAAATAACATGACATCTTATTTTGGAATGAGAGCAGCAAAGACAAGGAGCTATTAATTTCTTTAGCACTTCAGAAAGCGCCATTTCTTGCTTGGTAGTGGGATATCTGCAGCTTCCTCCATTCTCTGAAAAAAAGGGTCTGGCCAGAAAGGCAGTCCAGGCCATCATACACTCCATAAATAACCACTCAGGTAGGGAAAGGGCACACATATTTACAGTCGCAGAGGACCTAACTTCCTAACTAAGGTGATCTGCCAACTTCTCATTCTACAGCAAAGGACATGGAGGCCACAGAACTGGGGTGAAATTTTTCTCAAATCACCATCAGCAGAACTCAGGAATCCTGACTTGGTCAAGCATTGTTTCTGCTATTCTTGGTTATGTCTCTTTGGGATATAAAAGCTTTATGAATATAGCCAGAATGCTCAGAAGTATAGAAGATGCATGGAACAGGACTAAGACCAGGAAGCCTGACTCAGCTCTGAATAAGAGAGCTTAAGAACCAGTCATCTGGACATCCTGTGTTGACTATTAGAGATACTCTGAGCTCAGCAGGCTCATGGCTTCAGACAGCTCAATCTCATTATCCCCATATTGATCGGTATGAGTCATAGTCCTCCTGCAAGAAGAGGTCCCCAATCCAGTTTTAAAGAATAAACAGGATTATAGTATACACAACATCAATTCAGTGAATTTAACCCAGCAAGGGCTGGTAAATCGATAAAACGAAGGTGCCTATTGGTTGAGTGTAGTGCTGAAAGAATGCCAACTAACACTAGAACACAGTCCCCGGAGATACTCAAGGTCAAGAGTAGGAAAAAAATATCTGAGCAATGCAAATGTCCCCTTTTATCATCTGAGGTCAATGAGATTGGGGCTGGGAATGAATGCCTGTGCCCTGATGTTGAGTTATCATTTGCTATTTTTCACTGAAGACATTTTAGAAAACAAACAGTATCTCGTAAACTGTAAGTTTCATGGGATGGAAGAGGCTGAAAATGAAGTTGTAAAATACTGCCTAAGAGAATCATTATTAAAAATGATCAACTAAAATGAAATAAAGCAATCAATCCTGACAACATGGGCAATACTATATACCTATTTTACTCACGCAAATAAATATGTTCTTAAACGGATGGTTACTTCTTCCACAGGATAAATATGAATATTTGAGCACACAATTTTAACTAAAAGTTGAAACTATATTTTGGAATTATTGATAGTGAGCACTGATGATTATTTCCTTTCTTTAAATGCATTGCTATAAGGTATTCCATTGATTTGGTGGGAAATTAGACAAAGACTCATTATCAGAAAGAATTTCACATGACAAAAGAGGGCCAAAATTTTCTTCATTTTAAGTAATTTTACCATATGAAAACCTTTTTCAAAGAACTGATCAAGGCCAGTAAAACATTTTCGCTGTGCAAATATTTGTTAAAATTCTATTATTTACCATATAATATTCAGCATAATTCCGAATCTACTTATGGTTAGTATTTTCCCCAAATCTCCAACCATCAAAAAATCAGTGAATGGGGTGGCACTGTGGCTCAAAGGAGTAGGGCACCGGCCCCATATGCCAGAGGTGGCAGGTTCAAACCCAGCCCTGGCCAAAAAGTGAAAAAAAAAAAAAATCAGTGAATGAATGATTTGAAGGAAATCTGTCAACCATCCATTTGTAGTTGAAACTACAGTTTGAAAATTAAGAGTAGTTGGACCATGTATCCCCTGGGCAGTACCAGACTCAAGGTATAACATGTGTTCTAATTAATGCATGTGCTTACTGGTAATCTTAATCAGCTCTCCTATAATAATAGTCACCTTAATTTTTGTAGCATATACATTACTACAATTACTTGAGGAAAAGATACTAACATTGTTGACCTTTCAGAGATCACATCAGGGAACAGCATTCCAATGGCATGTAAGTAACAAGGGCTTAAGCAATAGGCATTGCCTTGATCCACTGATTGAACCACAGTGCGTCAGTTAAAAAATAGGTTGCTCTGTTTTGAAATATCTAGGCAAATGTGGCTTTTAAGTATTTAACATGATACTGTGATAAGATCCTATTAAGAAGTTAATTGATGCCTCCATACTGAACCTCACAGTCAAAGCATTCTATAATAGACATACTCTTATTTGACAATGCGAATGCTACTTTCTTTGCATTACTATTGTTATTGCTTAATACTTCGTTGCAGCAATCGTCTGATTTCTTTTATGAATATATTTATCTTCATTCATTCTTTACAAGGTTTTTGTTTCTAGTCCTTATCTTAAACATTGTTATTGTTGTTAAATTTTAAGACTTTTTGATTTTGTGAAGGCAAAAAGTGGAAACCTAGTAAACACATGTATATGGAAAAATAAAAATAAATAAAAATTAAAAAGACCCTATTAAAACTGTATCTTCTTTTTACTTATCCTTCTCCAGTTATCTTTTCCTCCTTGAGAAGCCTTTAAAAACAAAACACACAACTGGGAAAATGTGTGAAGTCACACACACACACACACAAGCATAAACTGAAGAGACAACTTAATTTGGCTGGGTCAACTTCTAGGTGGGGCAGTGAAAACTTCTGATAACAGTGACTAACTAGAGAAACTCAACCACTTTCAGGAGTCCTCAGTGTTGCTACCTTAGTACAGTGAACTACAGGTGACTACACATGCTGCAGGCACTCTAAGCAAAGCACACTGCTTAAGTTTCCTCATCTATAAAATAGAGATAATAATTTCAGAACATAAGAGCATGTTAAGAACTATAAGAAAAACATCTGACTTGATGTTCAGTTTCTTCTCTCTGATAATTTCTTCCTCCAATATTGCTATGACTATAAGGAATGTGCCATTTGCATTAAGAAAGATGCGAGAGGGCTGATTGTACACAAATGGGCAGTCAGCACATTGTTGGGTTCTGCCTGACCTTTCTGCATGCTATTCAGAACAAGAAAGAGACTTTTTTTTTTTGGAGACAGAGTCTCACTGTGTCGCCCTGGGTAGTGTGCCGTAGTGTCATCATAGTTCACAAGCAAGCAACCTCAAATTCTTGGGGTTTGAGCAATCCTCTTGCTCACACTCCCGGATAGCTGGGACTACAGGAGTGTGACTTAACACACAACACCTGGATAGTTTTTCTATTTTTCATAGAGACAGGGGAAGGGGGGGGGTCTCACTCTTGCTCAGGTTGGTCTTGAACTCCTAAACTCAAGTCATCACCTGCCTTGCCCTCCCAGTATCCTAGGACTACAGGCATGAGCCACCAGGCCCAGTCCAAGAAACAGATTTTTAACTACTGGTAATGCTTTTTCTACCTGAAAGGAAAGATGAGAAAATATCACAGGAATTCAAGGATGACCCAACACATAGCCAACAGTTTCTTTGAGTAAGGTAGGGTTGACATAATGGGATTATTAATTTACAATAAGCCCCAACTGCTGATTCCAATGTCCTCTACCATTCTAACTAGCTAGTCTCAGTAGGGAAGAAGGGAGGAGAGATTGACCTTGACTCACCTTATTTCCAAGGAGATGTGGGAAACCCTTTAGCACAGTGATTCTCAGCCACAGTTGCACATTAGAACCATCTGAGGAGCTTTTAAAACTACAGATGCCCAAGCCACACCCCAAAGTAATTTCATCAGACTATCTGGAGGTGGGGGGCCAGGCATTCATATTTTTAAAAGTCCTTGGTGTGATCCAAGATGCAGCCAAGGTTGAGACCTGCTGACTGGGATCACCCCTGTCACCTCCTGTACCTTCTGCTGCAAACCAAACTAAGAAAACCAACCTAGAGCATTTCACATGCAGCTTCTTAGCTGAGCAGGTACTATAGGATCCTGAATGCAGAGTCACACAGATGGCTGAACAGACCTTAAGGAAAAGGGATTACCCAGCTTCTCATGGGAGAGCCATTATTTCAAACAGTTTGCACTTCAACAATATGTAAGTTCAACAATCTTCAGAGGTAACACCGACAGCTAAATTTGCCTCTGACCATTAGGATTATTATTCTCGCATTAAGGGACAAACGTCTTGGGAAGGAAAATCAGAGTGTTTTGTGGGCGTGCGCCCCACACACATAGCCTACAGAGCAGACGGAAGCATGCAATTCTCGCGGCCGCCAGGAAAGCACCCCGCAGGCTTCCCACCGCGCCACTGCACCTGCTGGCGCGCTCGGCCGCACCTGCTGCGCCGGGCCCTCCCCGCCTACCTTCCAGCAGCTCGTCCAGACTGGTGACCTTCCGGCTGCCGTCGATGGTGTAGATGGTGCGGACGCCCTGGGGCAGGTTCACATTGTCAGACAGGGAGCGGGTGAGCTCTATCAGGAGCGCATCGAAGGACCGGAAGCGGTCACTGGAGATGGCAAACACCAGGCCCTTGAAGTAGCGGTCCCCGTTCCTGTAGAAGCGCGCCTTCTTGGCCTTCTTCTCCGAGCTGAGGGCCTGCAGGGTCCGCGTGCGGTAGAAGCTGCAGTGGGCACTGTGCGCTGGGCTGGGGATGAGCCCGTTTCCCTTGGGGCCCGAGCTGCTGCTGCCCCCAGAGGAGCTGGGTGCCCCTCTCCGCGACCCCGGCCGCGGCCTTTTGTCCCGTTCCTCAAAGTGCTCCAGCTCAATACTCCTGGTGCTGGCCATCGTCGCTGCTCCAAGGGTTTTTCACAAGAAGTAAAAAAAAAAAACGTTCCAGGCAGACTAGCGGCAGAGCGAGAGCCAGTGCGGGGCCGTCTGGCTGGGAGGGCCCTTAATGCGCCGGGACACCTGGCTCTGGCATCCCGCCCTCTCCTCGCAGGTGGGGCCGCTGTGCCGCTGGCCCGCCCGCGCCCGCAGCTAAAAGTGGCCGCAGCTTTGAGCTGCCCGGCTCATTGTCCAGAGCGCCTCGCTCCGTGCCTCCAGCCGGCCGCGGAGCCCCACGCCCCCCCAAGCGCCTCCTCCACCCGGCCACGCCTCACAACTCCCGCTCGGGAGCTTCCCGGGAGAGTCAAAGTTGGGCCGCCCCAGGCTTGCGCCGGGCCCGCGGGCGCACACAAAGCTCGGGCGCCCGCCGCGGCTCGCGTCCGCCTGCGCTCCCGGGAGCGCCGAGGGGAAGGAAGGAAGGAAGGAAGGGGGAGGGGCGGGGAGCGTGGG